CATGTATTCAAAATGTGGACAATTATTCGATACAAATGTCGTAATCATATTTTCTGACATGGTTCCAGCTATATTACTATAAACAAAACTTATATCCCTGCACTTAAACTGAACCACTTCTGGTCATTTTGCTCTGTTTGTGGGAGATAGACGACAATAACACAAATGAGATGGAATGAAAGGCCAAGTATTCTTGACATTTATTGAAAAATGAGAGGCTTGTAAACCTTAAAAAATCCCTCGCCAGTTTCCTCAAACTGAAAGATTACAACAGAAAAACCTCCAAGGCGGTCCGGGTCAAAGGTCAACTGACGAGAAAAACTTTCAAAACATTAAACCAGTGAAAATTAAGCACAAATTAATCTCCCACAAAGGTGTGGGCCCCAGAAACACCGCAAGCCACAATAGTGTGTGGCCGCCCCACCCAAAATGACCAGAAGCAGAGGTAAATCCTTATGAAAGTACATTACTTAAGTGAACACTAACTAAATTGCTTGAATCCGAATACAGCGGCCCCTGCCTGACCTATATCGAATAGAAGGAAAAACAGAACAATGTAAGGCACCCATATATAGCGGCCCCTGCCTGACCTATATTCAAGTGCAAAACATGTTTCGTCTATTCCTATTCCTAAACATGTTACCATACTGCTGGTTGCCTAATATATCCCTTGAATGCATCTGACTTCCATCTACCTAAAACACAGATCTGAGCATCAGACAACCCATCGAAAGCAGCTTGTGAGGCTGCTCCTATACGAAAATTATGTCCCTTGAACCTATCAACATTAAAGCCACAAAACTCAAGAGAACGCCTAAGCTGAGCTGTGAAATCACCCTGTCCAATGCCCAATGCTCCAGGCAGGCAGGCAGGCAAAAAAGTGGGCCCGCATCTACTCCCCGTAACTGGCAAAAATCCCACATTGCCTGCACAGGGCAAAGGTCAGTCATCTCCCTCCTACAAAATGAAATAACAAATGCTGTGCCTGGTTTGCAATGCTTAAATTTGGATAAGGTTAATGTCATTGACTGAGGTTTACCCATGGTTCCAATAAACTGCAACTGATTGAAAAGAATGGCCCCACCCACATCATGCCTATTTTTAATTGTAATTTCCCCAATCCTGAGGAACCCATAGAATGCTGTTAAAAACATTGCTCTAAATAAACACCCTTGATAAGCAGATTAAATAACGTGTGGAATAGCCTTAACTAGACAATGCAAAATATCACGAGTGATAGGAAGACGGTCATCCAGTTGAAGTTTTAACTTTAGATATGACTGCACCAATTTGTATACCATAAAAGACTTGGTTGGGTCTGAAAAACCTGCAATTTTATGAACGTAGCTATTGGCTGACAAGTAAGTTGAAACAGTGGATGGTGCCAGGTGCTGCCTAGAAAGGTAGCCAATAAACAAAGCAATGGTTGTTTCCGGAAGTGGTAATGATGGACAATGTGTACCCCCAACTGGCTATACAAAAATTGGGCAAAAACCTGCACGCTGATATGTTGTCCTACAAATAGCTGCAAATAGCCTGCTAGAAAAGTCTGGCTACTGCCATTTCCAATTGACTGGTAGCAAATGTGAAGGAATTGGGGTTGGATTGATATCCATGCCATAAGCCATTGATCTGAACTGATCCACCTGCAAACGAGAAAGACAGTCGGCCAAAATGTTATGCCTGTCTGGAATATGTTTTGCTCTAAAAAGAATGTTAAACTGAAGGCCAATGAGCACGATCCGATGAACTAAAACCATCAGGTCTTTATCCTTTGCCGACTGCTTATTCAAGACTGACACCAGGGCCTCATTGTCAGTGAAGAACAACACCTGCTTGTTACTGAGATAATGCCCCCACACTTCAAGAACCAGCATGATTGGAAATAACTTCAAGACTGCAATATTAAGAACTTTCCAGTCAGCTGGCCACTGCCCAAAAAACCAATGAGAACTAAAAA